TATATATATATTGAACACTATATCAGTTATTAGTAATATTTTATAAAAATAGTAAAAAAGAAATTTCCTGTTTCATATCTAGGTCAATTTAATTTCTACAAATACTTAAAGCTATCAATTTATTCACCATCTTCAAATGATAAGGAATTCGACCGGACATAAGATATTTAAGAAAATGTAACTGGGGTAAATTTTTTCCCGCTCGCGGCATAGTTATGGGGTAAGTCGACTAAATTGAAGAAAAATGAGGCAGTTTCAGCGATTTCCGTCATCGTCGTAATTGCAATCGTTATAGCGTAACTAATCTCAACCAGTCTTGCCTAGGAAGCCTCGAGAGAGTATGATTTATAATTATACGGTGCTGCAGCGTTCACGACGTAGATCGTTAAAGTAAATAACGCGACTTCTCCATAGGGTCATTCACCGACAACTATGTAGCTGCATAACATAGTCGATCGTGGCAGATAAAGCTTCGTTTCCATTCTTAAGCAGTTTCTTTTTTGTCCCTTTCATTTTATTGTCTATTACTCTTTTTTTTAATCCCATCACTTTGCTGTGTATCCGATAAGGATTGGAAAGTTAATTTTAAAAAATAACTAATTTCCGTTACTTGTTAGCGAGTTAACTAGTAAAAAAACTAATTAACATTACAGTTATTTAAAAAGTAATGATTTGTTACTCTTACGTTACTGTTTTAATGTTAAAAAACGAGATTAGTTTAAAAAATTTGGCAATATTTTTTGTTTAAGTGTTAGTAAAAGCAGTAAACAACAGTGACATTAGATTGATATGTGAAAATACAACTAAAAAAATAAACGCTTTTTCAGTCCAAGCTAGAACTTCATGCTTAATAATATTTCAGAGTGAATTTATATATGTACATATCTAATTTTACCGATTAAATTTTGATCTTGAAACGCAATCCGGTTAAGGTGACATTTTTCACAATAAATTTTTTAGTACGAGATATCACTTTGGTTAAACTTAAAAATTGGTATTCATGAAATTTGTTATTCTCATGCTGTTCTGTGATTGATTTATATATCGCATTCTAAGACGTCATAAACCAATCATTAAACCGTATTAACATCTTAAATTACTTAAAACAATCTTGATGTAAGAACAAATTATGAATTGGCCAAAGATTGAAGATTGAATATACAAAAATTATATTATAAATATTTGAAATATAAAAAGTAGTGATAAAAGTGTAAAATAAATTGAAAAATTTATTACCGTTATCAAAAAAATGTAACTACCATTATAGTTACTAAAAAAAAGAAGGTAACATTGCTATTAGTCTATTGCTAAGAAAGTAACTATAACGGTAATGACATTACAAGTACCGAGTTACTTTCAATCCCAGGTATCCGATCTACCCTCTTGAATCACGGTATCACCATTTACTACCGGGAGAAAGTTACGTAACATCCTCTGAAAATGATTTATTTAGAAACGCGCAGATGTATTCACTCCTTGTACAAGTCTAATGGGAGATTCGCATCCCAGAAGTGCATTAAACCTTTTCGCGAGATTGCACGTGGCAGTGGATATTTACTGAATCATTTGATCATAACGGAGCGTATTTTTTATTCCATTAAATTAATTGATTGTTTACTAGAATATCTTTCAAAGTCGTATTTTGAGTTCGACAATCATGTTTTATCATTGTTCTATCATTGTTATAGCATTTATAGTATATTGTTTTGTGTAGCTTCACTTAGTTTAAATTGTCTGCAATTTTGATGAATTTGATCAACTCGTGTTCATAAATTGCTATCGTACATAGATTATTATTTGCTTCAAGATGAGAGTACGAAATTATAACGAATTTTTATTATATGTATAAAAAATTGTTTATATTATCTTAAACACGGTTGAGCTCGACTTTTGTTTACTAAGATTTTTTTACTTTCGTCAGTATGGTATATATTATTTACAATATAAATGATTTCTTTAATGTTTTATATATTTATTCTATTTTAATTCTATAATATAAGTATTATATTATTAAATATTTTTACAATATAAATATTATTTTTTTATATTTAATATATAAATAATATTTAATATATAAAAAGAAAAATAAAATTACTAATCATTAGATTAGTTAAGATTCCTACAATATAACGCAATTGTTAACCAATAATTGCTCGCAAGAAATGAACTCTGCAAATAACTCTACTGCTACTATATGCAATATTATTTCACAATTAGATACATACATATGTACATACATATCTTTCAACAAACACACATACATATATGGGTTAGCCCATGTTATTGCCTACTAATGGAATATAGGACAATCGATATTTGATCAATACGATATTCGTGATATGAGTTTCCGTACTATAATTATCTTGTTGCTAATATACATCGATCTCTGACTAATAAACTAACTAAATGCCGGAATGTAACAGTTGTATCAACGGCAATGTTTCGTTCATTCCTCTCTCTCCCCCGTATTTATATTTATTTAGTACGAATTAGCTCCCCGTTTCCTGCAATTAAGAATTGATTAATGAAAGTCAGTTAAATGGAATATATTGCTGAAATCATTTTATGATGTAAACGTCACAATCGGATGCGTTATTATCATTAATTAATCTTGACATATTTATAGAAAAAATTGCAGTATCTAACAGCAATTTGGTTCCGTGTACTGGTCTGTCGTTACGAACCGCAAAATTTGAAGGGGACATTTGCGAGACATGTCACGCGTGTATGCACGGAATGCATGTGTATACATATACGAGTGCAAATGCAAGAATGTACAGTTCTCTGTCCTTCAGCGAATGTACGCAGTCTGCAGCTTGTGTTTGTGCATTATACAATAACTTGGGCTAGCCGCGGGGTTTGTATGCGCTGTTAGTTCCATTTAAGATAGAAATTTACGCTGAATGAGACGACGGATTAGAATTTCGCTTGTGCGACTCAAAAGACTGGGAGGGTGATATGTCAAAGAAGAGCGTACTGGCCAAGAGAGAAACGCGCGGCGACAGCTTTCTGTGATCATGTCAGGGGAATACTCAATATATGTATGTGCCGCCTTGCTCATCCGTGGAAGGTCTAATTCCTACCACCATCTATGTTCTAGGACGAATACGAGGTAATACACATAATAAGCTGCACGGAATGTACAAAGAGAAGTGGGATCGACAGGAGCGCGAAATATGCCGGTTATGAAGATGATGAATGGTACACAGAGTCTCGTCTATATATATTCCCATGCGTCTAAAAGAGGTATTTATTTTTTATATATTACACTATATTGCATGCCCAAAATATACAAGTGTTATTACGATCATTTAGCTCATAATCAATGAGCTGTTCAATGATTCTATAGTAATACATTTAATTAAACTTGATGCTTCATTATAATCGACAGATGTGCAAGATTTATTAATTACCTATTAAAATACATTAATTCAATATTTAAACGCAGATTGAATCGAGTTTCGAACCTAAATGTAATTCTGATTATATTAATATGAGAATTGAATTGATAATGAAATTATATAAAGGAAGTATAGTAATTCAGTTTGTATTTTTATATTAGAATATGAGAGGATCTATTTTATTGAGAGGATATTAATTAAGATTAAAATTTTTATTAAATCGATATTAACAATATTGTCGAGCAAAAATAGAATAATCTTATAAATGGAAATTAGACCGAGAAGAATAGATGAAGTAAGAGAAAGAATCTTATTTTCGATCAAAGCGGATATGTTTAATAATATTCATATGCAAATTTATGAATACATCTTCCAGTTCTGTAAACTGCTCGCCGATTTGGTTTATCGGACGCAATCATAAACTGAAGCTGGAAATAACATATTACATTAATCGTCAATTTTAATAATGGTGCTAATAAGCATTTTTTAGACATTTCAAAGAACTTATTATTGCGAAAAATATCGCCTCAGCAAGGATTTAAATCTGGAACTCCTTACTTTCTGGGGCGTTTCAGCCGAAAATAGGATTCTTTTTATTACAAAAATAATCTTAATGTTATTATATAATAAGAAAATTTGACTTAGCCAAGGATTTTATGCACACAAGCTTAATCTGAATAGTTTTAATATGCACTTAAATGTTTCCTCCTTTGTCTTTGATGAAACTAAATATGAAGATGTACTTACAAAGGTTGTGAACATGTAGTGGTATCTGTAGTCATTCATTTGCAGTTGCAATATCTGTAAGAAATTAAAAAGAAAATTATATGGCAGAGAGATCTGCCAATTAATATAAATTATATTTCATCATGCCATATATAAGTATATATTACGATGCCATTAAAAGTAAATTTATCTTGTCATATTTTACTTCTATAATACTGTTTCGTATGTATATACCAATATTTTGACAATGTGGTTTTATGATGGCGTTTTAGATATAGATCTGCACACACATAACATACTTTATGTATACATTCCGCGCTATCCGTATATATTGCAGTATGAACATTTGCACAACAAATATTATATTGCATATTGTCATTTCACTACACACGTATATTGATATTGCATCCTTTGTAGTTCGATATAATTCGTCGTTTTTCATTTTCCGCGGTAAGGCCACTGTCATATGTATAAATCGATCGAGCTGAGATGGAAGCGAGTCAGATAAAAGAGGTCTTGCGCGGATCTTTCTGTGGAAAAACCTTTTCGTGGAAAGGAAAAGCAGATGGGACGAAACGGGCGTGCGAGGTTAAAAGGATATACGAGACCCGTTGCATGAAAGCATGGACGTTTTTTGATTACTCGACCGGTTGAGGGTTATCCTTGGAAATTCCCGAAGGACGTAGCATGCAAATAACGGGTTTGCTTCGACCGCATCTGAAGCAAGATTGCTTTCCGGAGTGCCGCTGACAAGGTTGTGGAATGGAACAAAATCTAATCCCTCTTACTTCTAATGTATTTATAGTCTTAATCTTTAGATTGCGAACAAGTTTTTCCACATTTCCTGGATTTGAATACTTTTCTATAATGCATATAATTGTTTTACTTTTCGTTTTATATTTGACTGTAATTGTCTGATCTCTCTTGCTTTTTCGTTCATGGCAATTTTCTATCACATGCGTATAAAATTATTCTTGTTTACTTTATACACTTTGCTAATTAATTATATGCTATTTAATTTAGTACAGTAAATTCTAACATTCTATCCTTTTTATATCAACATTATTTAATGGAGGTCTGCATATAATTGCATTACATACATTATGTAGGCTCAATCGAATGTAATTTTATTTTGTATTTATGTTACACAATTCATTGTAAATTAAACACTGAATAATTTATGCGCTGTTGTCCCATGTTTGTTATGTACGTAAATTATGGCAAGTCGCGTCTTTTTTCGTGTCTGTAAAGTTAGCACGGCATTTTATTAATTTTCAAAAAATAATGATTGTTTCGGTAGCACTTTCCATCGTTTTACTTCATTCGAAAATAACAAAATATTCCGTATTTTTAATACCAAAAAATCAAAACAAAGAATGCCGTTATAACTTCACGATCTAGCATGGCATAACTTCCTCTAAAGTACCAAATGCTATCGAATATTTTATTCTCCTATCTAAGTTTGAAAGAACAATAGAAATTGCTACCGGAACAACCATTATTTTTTGAAAATTAATAAAATGCCGTGCTGACTTCACAGACACATTTTTCTCACGGTATTGATTGTCCTAAGTTATAATGAACAAATTTTATCATTTTTCGCAACATTATCTTCACAAGAGAACTGAGAAACGAGTCGATAACGCGTGTTTCAATAGTGAACAATCGAGGCGTATATTTCCGGCACGTTGATCACTCGCCCGATTATGCAAATTTTTCTATTTGTCGGCCGTGCACGCAACAGCATTTCCAAAAGTGTCGGGAAAAACATCGAGTGCTTTTATCGCTTCAAGCGAGCGTGAAAATGGCATACGATTTTCATGAATTATTTTCACCTTGTTTTGTTACCACTAACAATTCGTGCGATTTAATTTCACGATTTGCTGATTTGCGTCATGCGTTTGCAAATAGGTGGTTAAATATTACGAAGCCGTTGTCATCGTGAGTATCCACGAATATAGTGATCTATATAACTCAAAAAATTATTACGTTGTTGAACATAAATAATAAACTGTGCAATATAAAATATAAAGAGACATTAAATATATGAAAAGCTTCTACACCTTACAAGTATAAATTGATATTCGTTATTTATTTATTATTTTCAAAGCATTAAAAAAGAATTGATTAAATATTTCAGTAATCTATTAGATATTTTCATAATGTCGTTAATTTTCATTATCGTCGCTGTTATGAATATTATATGTCATATATAATACAAATATTGCTCAAAATTTCTAAAAATCGTTTTATCTGTTATTATATAATTCAACGTATATAAATAATTTAAATATAAGAGACCTTTAAAATGTAAATTTATTCTCTACTTTTCGATCTACTTATAATGTATATCGCTTTAGGATACATTTTAAGAACATTTTTTGGACACTGCAGTTTCATTTTGAATCTAAAATTAGAAGGCAATAAGAAGCGTTGTTTTAGAAAGAAAAACTGCAACGTACAGTCGCCATTAATCCCTATTGCAAAAGTCCTTTTAATCTCTGAGCAACCGAGTCCCTTTGCATGATTCTGGGAAGTTATTTATGAGCTGCGATGCGCCCCGTGTACAGATTTCTGCTTGTTTTCTCTTTTTCTTTCATTTTACATCCAGTAAACAACATGTTTTCCGTCTATACGACCGCCATAAGCTGTATTTTTTACTTATTTTCAATGCGATTCTAACGATTCCATCGATATCTAAAAGAGATTTGGACAGGTATTAAACTAAAGTTGGACAGGTATTAAATTTTCTCGCGGAGAAAAAACAATTATTCACAATCCCACGTGTGCATCACGTCACTTATATCAGATGCATCGATGACAGTTTTCTGCGCGAATTTCTTCTCTGATTCTTTTTTTTCAAATAAGTACTAACAGGAAAAGAACAAAATATTTCGCCAATGGAATTCTAATATTTCTTCTTTCGTGAAACAAGTCTGAAGGGGAACATTTTGTTAGCATGCATTAGTTTTGTTTATTTCAGATACATTTTCGTATTTATAACAAGATACGTGTTCAAGTTTGCAAGGAAAAGGGAAAAGTAACAAAATATAGAACAATATAGACATACAAAATAAATATATTTATAAAATAAGTTGTGACTGTAATAACATAAATCTGACAGAGATTTTATATTTGAATGATTTAGATTTGCACGGTCTGCAACTTTTTTATAATATTTCGTATTTTATCGCAAAAATATGATATCTATTTGAATAAAGCAACTTGTCAGATTTATCATGCAAAAGATTAACGGTGTGGAAAAATATAGCAGGAGGGACATACGTGCGGAGGGGGGAAATACGTTCTGATTTTCGAAAAGTAATTTTAACATGATGAAAAAAAGGTGATGAATGTAATATAAATGGATGCAATATAAATGGAGATTGTTGGAATCTTTGGAGGTGCATGAACGATATCAATATTTAAACATTCAGACTTTGTGAAACGACGCCAAATATCGAAACGTTTAAGACTCACTGCTCGGAAGAATTGCTGCATGTGCGCCGGATCTGTGTCAACAATCAACTTGAAGATCTCTTTGTGTCTGACCTCCCGCAGGACCTGCCTGTAGGATGTAGGGCCCGCCTGACGAATGTACATTTCAGTTCTCACGGATGGCGGGGATTTTACGAGATCCTGCAGTTTGAACAGCCCTGCAAAAACAGAAGAGAGGTATTTTTTCGCGGCAAATTGGTCCTCGGCGTAATGCCAAGTTTTATCATTGCGCGTGCTTGTTATTTCTTTTAATCCTTTCCTTTATGAAACATTTAAAGTTACGTCACAACAAGTATTTTAAATTGATTGACGTTGCTGGTTGCAATTATTCCAAATATCTACATGAACTCACGATTTATCTTGTCAGTTTTATATCGTGTATTAAACAGTATGAAAGTACTTTCTCATAAGTTAGGACAAAGTTTTTCAACCGGTGTGTGCCGTGGCTGATTAACCGCAAATAGTTTCCAAATATGCCGTGAAAATTTTAGCGAAGATAAAAGAAGGTAGAAGTGGAAAAATTAAAATTTAGAAATAAGTAAAAAAGTGAGTAAGACGCAAAGTATAAAATATTTTAAAAATTGAGATAATGATTTAAATTATATTTTGTTTACTCTTATTTTAATAACAATAATATCGCAAATAAATTACACAAAATTTGAAACAATCAAATAAAAAATAATATTAAAATTTCACTGTTTATTACTGAATATTATATTGGTGATATCTGATAAAAGAAAAAAAATGATATATATGTCTTTTATATATGTCGCTAAAGCTTGTATACCTAATGACCTGTACCTAGCCAAAGTTATTTAATATCCCCCGAATTATGAAACGCTGAATTACTGCAGTAACGAAACATTTTAATTATTTCTGAAATCGACATTTTTTATTCCTTTTTATTTGCCAATTATTTTAACAGAAATGGAAATAGCAGGTTTATTCTCAAATTATATTGTTAGTGAGAAATGAAAAAAATAATACAAAACAATTATATAAAAAGTCGAGAACATTTTCTTCGCAAAGCGTAATAAATGAAATAACCAATTTTCCGGAATGGTAATAGAAGTCTTCCACAATCCTCCACTCGTACATTGTAATCTAACCAACATCTAGATTCTTATGGAAATGATACGTGTTATTTTTACGTATATAGGTATGGGTTCAGACATAATGTAAGAATAATGGGTTTTTGCGTGACAGAAATGGATGAGTTGATAAAATACTCATTGTTTGCCATCTGTGGCAAAAGAACGATGTGGCAACACAAACTTGTTAATTTGATTTACAGAGAGAGATTTGCGATTAAACTATCAAGACCATGACTTTGATAGCAAACTTTTCATAACTACTTTTACAGCGTTAAGAGGGTTTGCGAAGATGTAGCTAAAAAGGTATCACGACTTTTACAATTTACTTCCATCCGATTGTTCTTCGACTACTTCTTAAGTTGCACTGTCGACTTGAGATTTTCGTCGCGTGCACGGAATCCATTACATACGTATGTGGTTACGTTTGCCCGCGGTTCATTTTCCGCGTCAATTCGATTGACATTAATTTTAATCACAGTTTGATTCTTATTTTTTTTTTGTTTTAATTAAGAGAGAACAATAAGTTATTGTTACAACAATAACTTATTGTTACAACAATACTTATTGTTACAACAATAACTTATTGTTACAATAATAACTTATTGTCAATAAGAAAAATTAATTAGTTATATAGTGTTTGAATAATTTAATTAATAAAATACTTTATATTAATTTATAGCTTTATAAGAAAAAAATTGCTGTAGAACGAACGAGAAAAATATTATCGTTGATTTATTGTTAATGTATTCAGCACATTAGACGCTTTCAATTTCCAAGCGGCAAGTTTTCTCTGGACTTTACTCAAAGATACAAATCTGATAAAGTCGCAAGATCTTCGGTGCAATCCTACTTTTCCGTATTTCTGAAAGAGACTTCTTGGACATTCAGATAGGTGTCTCCAACTTTGAGCTTGCTAATTACTTCCTCGTAATGATCGCAACGAATAGAGCGACGGCAGGAAAAGGATCGATAAACAGCTAAAGGATGGCGGAAGAGAAGCAGAAGAAGATAAATTTTCTGGCGCGTTAACGAGCGCAGCTCGCAGGAGAGCTGGCACTTTCCGCAAAATGTAAAAATGAAAAATGGTAAACTTCACTTTCGGAACAAATCGAGCAATTACGGCCGCTTGCATACTTCTCCGCTTGTACACAAGATGCTTTTAGACTCAAGAACTTAATTTCACTGACAGTTTTTTTTTTTATTTATTAAGGCGTTGAGTTTTCCCGTGTTGAACCAGATTCTCTGACAATTTTCTGACACTAATAACTTGCTTATTATAAGCGATTGAAAATAAAGTAAATTTTACGAGACTCTTGAAATGTAGTAAATAACTTTGTAACAAGTTTATTAAATAACGGAATTATGTCTATGTATACTTAAATAAAGTTTATTGAGTTAAATTTATGTAAACAACTTGGAGTGAGGGAATAGAAATATCTCAGATAATAAAGGGTTGTAATGAAGATCAAGGTTTTCCTAGAGTATTTTATATGTAAAGGACTACCACGAGCATCCCTGACTAAGAAACGTGTGAAAGGGAAAGTAGGAAAATTGCACAGGGTAGTCTGGTTTACAAAATTAACTTAGTAGATAGCAGTAACTATATATACAGTGTTATATCTGGAAATTTATGATGGCATTGTACGATACAGAGGGAAATAGTTCAGGAAAAATGTACACTAGTTTTGCGTTCTCTCATCTTATCATTTTGACGATAACGTTTATGTGCGAGATCTCTTGACCTCGTTGAAGTTATAGATATAACATCAATGCAGATAGTGCCAAATACTCATTTTTGTGTAAATTCTTAAACGATACCACGAAATGATATAATTTTATTACATGTATTCTCATTATTATTGAAAAACTGGAATCTATAAATTATTTCAAAATGCTCAGAGAATAAATAGAGACTTTTAATAAATAAATTTGATAAATTTGTTTAAAAACATTTAATTCCTTTGAGAACTTTTTAACATTTTGAAAAAATTGTGTTAAACATTTAATCATTTTTTTATGATGAATAGTATTATTAAATTGAACAATTTAATTTATCAGACGTTAAATTTTTTTTTTTTTAGGAAACAGGTAGTCTAAATGAATACTCAGTTATGCGCGTTGCTTGTTCGATTAAAGTGACAATTAATTATTCGAAAATAAAAGTAATTAATAGTTTCACACATCGCACTATTGCATATTTCTGTCTCGAAATCACGTTTCGCTCGTTGGCTCAAGCGTTTCGTCGTCACGTTAAACTATTCACTATTTTATGTCGAAAAACGAAACTTTTCATACTCGATAAAGTTTTAACGAACTGCGAAACTAGGCATTTCTCCTATGGCTATGAATAACTAAATGACAACGAGTGACGCAGGCGGCTTGCCAAATTTGTAAAGTGCTCGAGAGGTTTATTCAAAATCTCGCAGTGATTCTCATTATACTTGAAGCTTGCTAATTAAACTTATTAAACTATAATTATTGTTTGAAAATTTACAAATCACTACGTTCACTGAAACTGCAAGTCGTATCATTTCCAATTGACGTTGACTGCTTAACATTTAATGACGTTTAAGTGAGCGACTGTCTTTGCATGTTGAAGTTTTAACGTGAGATGCGAATTTTCTCGACTAATGAATATTTAGGTGATACCGGGTCGGGGATGTTACATTTCTCCTAACGAATCATAGTTGAGACGTTTTCGACACGCGTCGCTTTTACGACGGGGAATTTTGAAACTCCTTGCCTTATTCTCTTGTCATGGATTTATGGTGGGTCATAGACATCAAGGGGCTTGGGCAAAAAGCGCGTTCTTTCCGTTTCCTCTCGTTTCATCGCTAACGGCAGCGTCCTACTTCGTGCTCCTGTTATATCGCCAAGTTACATCGTCCAATCAAGAGCGGCAGTTTAAGGAAGATAAGGTCGGAGACCTCCCACGTTTTCCTTCGCAAGAACTATAAGCGGAAGGACTCATTTTGTAAATGTATATGCGGTAAACTTGCGATATCTAGCATTATTAACTTAAAAAATATTAAGAATGGGCAACAAAATTTTGTTAGTGCGTCCAACCAAATTCGCTGTAAGATCCATGGCTTGAATAGCAATTACCAATAAAACAAACAGCGACTCCTTGGATACGTCAAATCGATAAGTTGTATAAATGGGAGAAATTCTTCTTCTCATTTTCAAATTCTGACAATACAAATCGTGATGCTTTATAAATAATTACTTGACCATGACGATTGCGGCTTCTTCATTGAGGCAAATAAATGTAAAGGCTTTTCTCGGATAGACGGATATGGATGGAAGAAATACGGGTGAATTCATACATTTTTCCTGTATGGACGGCGATAGTTAAAATATACTAATGCGATTCGGAAAGAATGGAGATGACAGGTGACTTTGGCGTGGATATTATGCGTCAACGCCGCGTTGGAATTTCGATGAGTTGCCGCGAATGGTGCCAGCCCGTCGCGGAATGGAAATGGGCGCCAAGAGGAGCCGCGACCGGGGGGTTAAGTTGATGGCAAAAAGTGGCGAGGGAATGACAGAGAGCAATCTCATGAGCGGTCGTCGCGAGTTTACGTCGTCGTATGTAAACGCGTGCGTTACTTCTGCATGCGAGTGACAAGCCGACATTTTGGACGGTAGCGGGATTCCACTTCCGGTGCCTGATTCCGACGTTCTATTTGCATAGAGACGCATCGCCGACATTGCGGAGAAACCAAAAATAAAATGAAATAAAATGAAATAAAATAAAATAAAACGCATCTGTATAATGAACGCGTCGACGGTGTTAACGAGATCGCCTCTTCCGTATATCCATGATGTAGTTTCCATGGAGTAGTTGTTGTTATACATATACGAAGCCCGCTGGTCGCGGTAAAATGAGTTCCATGCGGTCGGAAAATCTTTTTAACTTGGATGTCGTGTGTAGCATTGTTCGCATGTTCGTGCTCACAGTCCATCGCATATCGCGTTCCATTAGGACCATTCTTACCGTTCTGTACTCGGAAAAATATATACCGATTTAATCACGTAACGTCTGAGTTGATTTCTGCGCGATAACAAATTAACATTTTGTTATTTGACGTTGAAAATAAGATTGAAAAATGTAGAAGAGAGAGAGAGAGAGAGAGAGAGAGAGAGAGAGAGAGAGAGAGAGAAAGAAAGAGATAAACTCTTGTAAAAATATTCTTGCTAATAAGATTCATTGAACGTTTATATGAGTTTGTGTGATTTCAAGGATTACCGCGACAATTTTATTGTTCTTCACTTACCATAATCTTCTTCATAGATAATAGCCACTCTAGTCCAATTTAGAAAGGAAATAAGGTCCTTGAATGCTTTGTTAAGATGATCTTGTGCGGGATATAAGTTAATGCTGAACTCCTTGAAAGTAGGCTCGAAATCGACCCTCGCTTCAAGGTGAGGAACGTCCAATGCTTCACATATACTTTGTATATGAGCACCTAAAAGTGGATCAGACGGTCCGAAGATGCCTTGTACCGATCTGGATAATTGCTTGCAGGCTGCAATAAAAATTAAAAGATTTGAGCAATTTAATAGCAAAATATGTAACTGACATAATAATTACTATTTATATTAGAAATTAATTTATATTTATAACTTTTGCTTATGAAAGTTTAGTTTTCTTATTGAAAGTTCAAAACTCTTGTAAAAATTTCGATTAGTTTTTTTTAATGAAATATTTTAAACGTACTTAGAAATATATTTCTTATAAATTTATATATTTAGAAAAATAAACGCAGGATCCCTTTTAAAAGTATTTCACTGATGTGTTAAAAATAAATACTGCAATATATATATATATAGAATACTGTAAGATGAGCGAGGAAGACGTCAATGGAGGCATGAGGGTGTGCTAAAACGGAGATTGGAGAACGGAGACTGGCTCTGACATATCAATTTCATATTTCTAGATGAAGCGTACTTGGAAGTTCTGTATCAGCGAAAGCTGCAGTAAATTGTCGACAGACTCTTTTAATCCTCGTTACTGTTCTTCCGTAATCTTGTATAATAGATTACTATTATAAAACAGCTTTGGAATTTTGAAAGAATCAATAATAAACTCTGAAATGTTCCCTTTATCGAATTTAATATAAATCACGATGATATAAAAATTTTAGTAATTTGCACAATTATATAAAAGACCGTAAATAATGCAGAGAATAAAAATATGATAAATCGGATTTTTACAAATTATAAAGAGTTCTTTTTTAATAAGTTTTAATTTTCAGGAAATTTTTAGTTGTAAAATATAATGTGTAAATGAGAAATTTTATTTCTATCTCGTTTGTTGTTGATTGTACATTTTATTAATTTTCTACCTTTGTAAATTCGATTGTAAAATTTATTAATTTATAATTATAAATAAACGGTAGTTTTAATTAAGGTAATCAACTCAGAAAGGACACACACACACACATACACAATAGATAGGTTGCCCGTAAAATAATACATTAACAAATCGATAACTTATTATATTACTTACGTTATTTATTTAAAATTAACATATCAGTACCTTAATGAAAATGGATTAATGAAGCCAGTTTAAAAGTTAAATGCAGAAACAGAATTGAATAATATGGTTGAAATATAATATATAATAATGATCAATATATGATATATTGGATAATTTTATCGGAAATAAACGTAATATATGTTTTGCAATCTTTCGATGTACGCGTTTTCCAGTGAGCAGACAGGGAATTGATACATTCTTTTAAAGGCTTAGTTTTCTTATCTATTATCCTTGAAGGAAAAGCCCTCCGGACTACAGCTTTATTTTTCCTTACATCGCAAATTATTCATGGCACGTTTGTAAGAGAGAGTTGCATTGAAGGATGGATAAGTTTGATTTTGGTAGTATTACGACTATTTCTAAGAATTCTCGCTGGCTGAATTTTATCGTTATCTTGAATTATTCAGCGTTTCTTTATTTCCATTATATAAATTATGGTTTGCGACTACATTGAATTTCACGTATGTTGCATCACGTAAGCAGCGTTTATTCTCACGAAATTAACTTTTCTATTTGTGTATTTGTCTATCAAATTACTTATTATTCGATAATATTCTTAATAGTTACAAAATTTTGTATTTTATCTATTATTATGTGATTATAATTTATTATTAAATAATATGTACTTAACTTGGATAATAATTAATTAAAAAGAATGTATTTCAAGGAAATAATAATAGAATGAGAAATACTTTTTGTATAGCAACAGCGTTAGAAGGTTCAGATAAAATGGATTCGTGATTCCCTTTGGTGAAAGGAATCATGATTTCTTTTGTTGAAAGAATCCAGTATAATTGTAATGAAATACTTTGGGAAAGAATACTAACAATTTTGATTAAATATTCTCAGTTGTTCTCTTACATAAAAAAGATTATCATAGCATTGCTGTTTAGAGACATGTTGATACAATAATTTTATATAATCTACTTTTGGTATAAATTTTCCTTTGATATAAAGCGATCTGAAACGATTACTTGGTAGCAAAGAATGTTATACTTGCTGTGTGCTCGCTTAGCTGAGATTTCCGCTAATTTGTTCCTTTATAATGCTTTATAATACTTTTGTACTACGCATGTTCGCCTAATTAAATTGTCTACACAGTAAAAAACATTTTCTATTTTAAAACTTGTCTTTATTAAAATTTTTGTGTTTTTAACGTGTTATTTAGTTATTTTCTGTTAAATTAATATTTAACTATTCTTAGTGTTAAAATAAGACATTTAATTTTTAATTTATGATTAAGTGAACAAATAATTATAAAAAAAGATAATGCAATTTTAAAACGTAAATTCGAAGAGAAATGAATATATATGTTAATTTAATAAATAATAAATGTTAATTTTATTAAAAAAATATATTCCCACAGTTTGTTTTTAAATTGTATCAAAATGTTACATTTTTACATAATATTATATTTGTATTATTTTTTAACATTATCTTATGTTAAATTAACATAAAAATTCGGGTGGGACACGTGAAAATGTGTTAAATTTAACATTTTTCAATTGTTCCAAGATTTATAAAAACGCGCAAATATATAACGCATCATTTTTTTGAGAATACACATTTCATTGTTATGAAATTTCTTATTACGCTATTTTATCGTTGATTAAGTCGAGCCGAAGTAAATAAGAATCGTCACCTCGTTATATCGCAGTTATGTTTAACGAACCGATATTTATCCTTTTTACGTTAATGAGTGCGGCAGTTTCCGCACAAAGAACTGCGTCGGTGCTTTCTCATAATTTTTTATGAGCTTAATATAATGCATGATCGCAATTTCACGAATTATCGCAATTAAGATGATGATATTGCTATATTGCTATACATGGTTTAAAAAAATATGCTTTTTTTTAAATTGCTTTTAAGACATTTAATTCGTTAAGTCAGTAATCATTTGGAATGATTAGCTTTATTTGAAATTAACAGAATTTATGGCAGCAAATCTTTGTATTCAATTAATTATTCGGAACAAAGAATACATATATTTTTAAATAAAAAAGGGATATACATAAAATATACTATTACGCAAAATTTTTTTGCATAATTTTTTTAGCTTATTGTGTGATATTTTAATATCACATCTGAAGGTTTAATTTAAAATAAATCCTTGCATGTATTTATTGTTAGCAGAAAGTTTAATCTGATTTTAAACATTCTCAACGCATACTTGTCTTTTTTTAATGCAAAGATGTAATTAATGCAAACACTACGTAATTGCGATACACTCGTTGTGATCATCGTTGTAATACGGTTAAAAGATAATCCGGTAAACGTTTTCATTAATTTCATCGTTAAAAGCATAAGCAACTGTGCATTCGCATGCTCACGAAGTTATCTCATACAGATATATGGCAGCTTGAATTATCAGGATAAGCCGACTGACAATGACGAGCTGCAAATCTCTTTAAAAAGCCATTGCGAAGTTGTTAGGGGAATAGAAGAGGACGGTGGACGGGTAGGATAAGATTGTCTATTAGGATTACGAGTGCAATGTGCGAACGGAGTTTTCCCGTAGACACTGGGAAATAAAATCCAGCAAAATAATCGCTTCGTCATTTGGTTAGCTGCACGCCATTTCTGGCCGTAGCTCTCGTAAACGGAACCTGCCATTAAAGTGTTCCGCCTCGGTGGTCCGGGTCGCTGCTCCTTAAAGTTATCCAATCAATTTCCCTGGTTTAGATCTCTTCCGATTTCTATCTTCTTTTGTTTTCTATTTTCGCAGTGATCCAAACGAATTACACCTACGACGTAAACTTGAAAAGAAATTTGTGCGATGTCCTATTTCCATGCGAGCTCGGGGAAATGAAATTTTTTTTTTTGGAGGACGAAATTATTAAAGAAGTATACAGTTTTTTACTCATCGAGTAACTTACTTTACAATGTAAGAGCGAACTTTATGTCATGTATCCGCGATGTTAGAAAGAAGAAAACTTCTTTCAACGCAGCAAAAGCATGAACTTTTACTTTAAAACTTCTTGTTATTAAGTGTTTTCGATAACACGTCAACTTTATGTTTCTAACTTAATAAAATTTCATAAAAGTAAATTAAATTTTATTAGATGCTGCCTTTTTACATTTTTCTGCACTCTTTTTTAAAAATACTTATTGATTGATTTTCCAATGAAATTTCTGTTGAAACAAAATAAATGAAATACTTTAATTAGAATAAAGCTAGCGATAAAATATATTTATTTAGTTGTGTTTAATGTATTGTGTCTTACTTCGTTTATTATATTGTAGAAGAAGAAAAATTGTTTGCTCTCATCTTTTCTTCGAGAAATACAATATTACGCTCTTCTGATAATTGCTTTATCAATTGACATGCACATAATTCGTTCTTACGACAGTAAGATGTCACAATACCTTGTAATCCGTACTAGATGCCCTGAAAAATTCATACAGGATTTTCTGTCGAGTTGAGTATTTCGCCGCGAATTCAATTTCCTATCGAGGCTTTGTTCCTCGTTTCTCGTCCTGGAGAACTCCGACATAACTGTGCGGAAAATAAAGAATCCTTATGTAACAATTTTCTACAGAATAACAGAAGAATCCTACGTTGATTCTCTAAGATGCAACTTGTCTATATTTGATGATGAAAAACTCTCTCTTCGATAAGCCTGACTATACGAGGAGAATTGTTTATTTTATATTCCATGAATGAAAAGAAAGAGAAAAAGAATAATGTATATTGTTGTTTTCTCTAAAAAAAAAAAAAACATTTTTCAGTCGTTAAATATATATTGAGGGAAAACGGTGTTTTAATTTTTCCATTTAGGTTTCATGATACATAAATATCCGATTCTGCCTCGACAGGAGCCGATTTTGCGCGTGGTAGAGCAGAGCGGAGTTCCAAATCCGTTTGAAAACTTTCGCATGAAGAAATCCAGACCGTGGACACATTAGGCGAAGATAACGCAAACGGCGCGAGCATCAGCCGCGATTACTTCTACGCGAAATGTATCATGGCATAGTAGGCGCGAGTCAACCGAATTCGCGCGTACGCAACATTAAACTCGCCTAGAGATGCGCAGAAATGAGAAAATGTATACAGGCGCCTATCCCGGGTGACATGGGAAATTTATCGCCGGGTGAGCTAGTTTACAAAAGAAATGTTGGAAAAGTTGCGCCGTTCGACACGATTCAACCCCGTCCGCGAGAGAGGAAACGCAGTAGTCAGGACGGCCGGAAGGGATGCGGAGAAATCTTTCCAACCATGGATATCATTTTAAGCGTGCCATGGAGAAAAAAATACATGGATTCTTGTTATATATAATGGGATTCTATAGGCATATTTATGGCCAAATACTTTCCGCTTGAGAAAATATAAGAGGGTGTAAATGATCGTAAGTCCCCCTCGGTGTTTTGAGAAAAAGCGCTGATATAAATGTATACTTCATCTCACTTATATGTTACTTTGATATATACTTGGCTATTTACTGATGAGGCTTGAATAGTTTCCTTATAGCAGAATTTCATGAAATTTATATTTTTGTATATCTCTATTTATTATTTTCGTATTTGCCTTGGACACCACTCTGGTTGCTATACGAGTATGTATAATCATTTATTGTTGTATTCTGTAAAAAAGACTCTTGAGATATATGCTTCAGTGAACTTGGAATTCGCGACATAAACACGAGTCTGCCGTGATTTTTTTTACCTTGCTTGTTTAGTAAGTTGAAAATCTTCGCCGCGCACGTTTTTAAAAAAAAAATTGTATATACTCTCTGGTTAGTTACACGCTTGTATTTAATCATTGTACCATATTCGCACGGTTCGTATATAAGCAGTTTTTCCCAACTTACACAGAATCTTCTTTACATAAAGAAACTTTTGCCTCACTGAACGTCGATTGTACACATCCTCGTCAATCATACTAGAATTTTATTAAATCGTGAGTATACTTATTTCTTTTGGATAACAAAATGGTTTCTTTATTGTGTTATTTATTGTTTGCCAAAGATAACTTGAGAATCGTGAGGTTAAACCAAACAGATGGAATCTCTACTACGCAGTGTAGAATTTTGTAAGAAAACACATTTCGAAGAGACATTGCCCCATGGCGAATTCATAACTGGTCGAGCTCGTCGCACTGAGATTTATCCGCCGCGCTTGCGATTGCGCGAGAGACATTGTTATGGTTTCGGCTCTCGCAGTCGATCCGGTTTCGTGTTATTTTACATAAATCTGAAGCTACATCATGTCGCGTGCGACGTCCTCGCGCTGTAATTCACGCTATAGTCGAACGCTAACTGAATTGCTTTCACTAGGCTTCCTGCCAACTTTTAAGCTCGCGTGTCAAAAGCGCTCCAATGACAGGAGATTCACGTCATACTCTAACCGCCAATCTTTTGAGCATATTAAAATGGAGGCTAAATTAATTAATTAGCTGGTTTTAGCTAGTATGTCACTATTCACAATCGCCAGCTGACACGTGCTGGCGAAGCAGGTATATATTTTACATTGTATAAATTGCACGGAGTAAATACCTTTTAGTCTATATTCGTATACTCTCGCACTTAATACTGCACGTAAAATCTGAATTCAGGTTTTATTCTACACTAGTTGATGTATTCTTGTAAATATATTATTTTGAAGTCAATGAATAACATGCTCCTGCATTCTATATATTATATAGAAGAATTCTATTTTTTATAGAGACTCGCAAAGTTAATTAGAAATACACAGATTTCAAAGTAATTCAGAGAACAAATTTTTCATGTAACAATTTAATAAAATTGCTATACATATTTTTAACAACATTAATAGAAATTGCATTCATCGACGTTTTTTCGTATTTTTGATCTTTATCTCGCAATGTGTTTTCAAGTATTAGTCTAATTTTTCAAATAATCTATCTTCGTATCTTTAAGTATATAGTCTGTTGAATAAGCGACGCGAAGTAATTATTTAAAAAGTGACTTATTTTTTTTTTGGAGTAGATATGACGCAACTAAGTCCGTGCCAAATTATCAATCATTCAGAATACGTTGCATCAACCATACTTTCTTTTTTTAATGTTTAAATTTTTTTAGAACAATAAATAAAAACCTGGGAAAACAGTAATAAAATTGAATGGGAAATTTTTTAATTGTGGACTACTTAAGATATGTTATTATTATTATTATTAGGCGTTAGGAACTCATAAGCTCATTGCCGCAAATATCAAATCTCGCCACTAATAACATATCTTAAGTCCCGGAGGGATCTTGCTCAGAGACTTAAGATATGTTATTTTAATGTAATATTATATCTTAATATAAATCTAAATATTAATGTATTTATTATGCATATATTTGATCAAATCGATGACATTATGAAGCAATCGGTATTGTTGAATTCAATTGACGTCTTCTCTTCAAAGATAATTTTTAAGAATTGCTTTTTCATGAAAAAATTATTGACAGATTTTTTTTCTTACGATTACACAATTATAATCAAAATTAGTAGATATATTTTTAATTACACATTATTTATAAAAAAAAGAATAAAAGTAAATTGATTAAAAAATAAGAAGACTGTGATATTGTAAAGCTGTTGCAATTAATTACTATGTAACTATCAACTATATTAATTGTAGGTTACTCTTGTAGGTGCAACTTATAACAATAATTTAACGATATAAGAAAATCACTGTCATTTTACCTAATTGTTACTGTTTTACTTTTTAATGATTATGATTTGATTTCAGTTATTTTACATTAATTATGAATTTTTATTAGCGATAACGATATTACAATCTACTAGATAGTATATATCATTAAAATAAAGAATTTTCTTATTTATTAAATTTATTTAAGAGGAAAATAATATTCGGAAGCACTCTCAATTTACCTAGATAACAAATTCGTGCCTTATCAATATCACGATGCATTTACATGTTCTCATAGAGTAAAAAGGTGTAAATTGAATAGGTTAAAAAATTTTCGTATTTTAGAAAAAATTAAACTCGCACAGTGTATATCAAACATACAAATGCTGTACATACGTATGCTGTATAAAGTCTAATTATCTTATATGTTGACAAAGCGAAGATTTTAAATCTGAACTTTTTTTAGGAAAAAATAAATGAAACTTTATAATGTAAAAAGTTGAAATTAGTATATTCTAGAACAACGACCGCAAATAAATTGCTTCTTTCCTTCAGCTTTAATACATTGTTTATAAAACCACACTTTATATTTTTAACAGCGTTTTCTCGTAACTAATAAGCATGCGTGAAATTGTAACTATCCAAAATGCTCCGCTATCCAATTTACCCCGCTGTATTTTATTTTAGAGATTATTTTGAGTTGCAAGATACAGATATTCTAGAGGAAGACAAATAATAGATGATTAACTATTTAAATAATAATTAATTTTTTCAAGATAACAATAAATGATTCAAATAACATTTATTTGCTATTTAAATATATATAATATTTAATTCTTTCAGAATAATACTGTTTATATACTTTTATTACGAGGCCATATTGATTATTTTCCTACCTTTCTTGGACGTGCGAAACGAATCATCTTTAGGCACATATTGGATATCGTAAACCAATGTCGTGTTCGCCAATAGAGTCTTATCCTTGTTGATTTTGTAAATGGCGTATTTGAATGCCAACTCCGACGGACTATCCTTCTGATCCTCGGTGAAGATCGCTCCTGCAACAATTTAATAAATATTTCTTTAAACATTAAAGTTTTTTATCTTCGAAACTATACAATATTATAGCCATGAATTATTGACGTTAGATACCATCCAAATAATCATTGTGCACTGATAAAATATTATTTTCAACAATACCATAATAAATATAATATTGAAACGTAAATCTGTTTTTACCAGAAATTTATTCCAGAATTATTGTAAGAATTTTATTTCTCTGTTGAAAGGTTAGGAGTTGATAAAATTTATTTAAACATGTATTTTTGATATAGCAAATAAATTTTGCGATTAATTAATTATACTTTTTATTAATTTATTATAATTAATATTACATAACATTCAGAGGAAAAATATTGGAAATGAAAGAAATTAAATTTGATCAAAGTGATTCTGTTTGCAATTTAATTCTCTTATAATTGGATTTTTTTATCTCACAACTTTTGGTAGCTGAATAACAAGTTTTAATATATTTATTAATTACATATTATTTTACTAGCGATTAGAGAATATAGAAAATTATTCCCGAATTATGTTATACTTGAATCGCGAATAGAATTCCTTGGGGAAATGCGTCTATATTATTAGAAGCAGAGATGAAACTGGTAACACAGACAAATCCGAAAAGAAAATTCCGACGCTACTAAAAGAAACTGAATTCATTGAAAGTTATAACCGAGTTCGTGAACTTGCAATAACGATCTCTTCTGTATCTGTCGTACATATCTACCTACATATATAATGGTAAGGTACTGCGCGATTCGCCCCTAAATTTAATTAATGACTTCACCACGGCATAGCTCACTTCGAATGCGAGTTTTAATTAAATTCGAATAATTACCGCGGCCAAAACCACGGTCGCGGTATCGGGAAGTACTTCAGCAGAAACGTTCTCGTACAATAAAGCGTTGACTTTGCGTCAAAAATAATCAACACTGAAAATTGCGTTTATGCAATCAACAAAACTTGTTTGAAATAAGCTAACAGATAGCTTAGATTGGTAAAATGTTCAATTGATCCAAAATTAAATATCCATTGTAAATATTATACTTTCATCCTAGTAGATGGTTTGTTTTCAAAATAAATATAGGAAATATACAATATATAGGAAATATTGGTTAATAATGCGAATTAATAAAAAAATATTTTTAATTGCTTATGACGAACAATATTTGTCTCTAAAGTTGTGTTTGTTTTTTTTTCTTTCGCAGTAATGATATGTTCGGCGAATAGAACGATCGAAGCTTTTTTTATTTTTACCGTTACATCTACAAATCCAATAATCGTGCTTTTTAATATTCTCCTGTGTTGAAAACGAATATTTTCGTAAAAATACTCAGGAAATAACATGAAATCGTAATTGACTATTTTTTATTTTGTATTGCCCTTTACATGAAATTCCGGGAAATCTTCAGTCGTTTAAAAGCAGCTTAAATAAAGGAGCTTTACTGTTAAAAAATCGCTTAACTAATAAATGCATGATACGTCGGTTTTCCATTCTTTACATTACTATCGTTTTCATGACCTCGATAATTAACTTTACTTCCTTTTTTGTTCGTAAATTCATCAAATGAAACTCTTTTTAAAATAATACCATTTTCTACATCAGCTTTATTGCAACTAATCCATTTTGAAGTAATCCGACCGTTAATCTCCAAAAGCACTCTTCGTCCAGTAACTTCAATTTTCCGGCTCTATCTGACAACACGTTGTCATTGCATCCTTTTTGGTTTTTACATGAGAGATCAATTTTTCTTTTACGAAAAGAATTATGTGTTTTTTTTTTATAAAAGAAATCAGACCATTAATTATATTAATATTTTATTAAAGATATTTTACATTCATGCTTTGAATATATTAAAAATTCGTTGTTTATAATAATTTACGTAAAATGAATTATTTATTCAATGTATGTATTATTAACTTATAATTACGTAAAGTTAACAATTCAATTTAAAGTCTAATTATTAGTTTATTAAATAGATTTAGTAGAAGTTTACATTATTACGTAATGATGCAATTCTAGAATAATTGTCCTAATTAGAAACGTTTATCCTCCCTCTTGTTAAATCAGATTCCTTCTAATTATCTCTCTTATCTCATCAAACTTTCAAATATAGCGTATACGATATTGTTTTGCAAAATCTAATGTTATCTTAGATTTAATTCTATATTATTCAATAATATAAATACTATTCAATAATATGAGAAACTTGCATTAAATCATAATTTGTGGACATGTAAATTTATCTTCGTTATGTTCGTAGAATTAAACTCTCAGGAATTAAACTCTTTTTGCGAAATCAATCTTCGTCACTCACTTGGAAATCAACGATTCCATGTAGCCAATTTAAACGATGTCATTGATAGAAGCTATTTTATGTGGATGTTTAGTTTGAATATTTTTAGTCTTTGTGGAATTATTCTGTCTGGATATTTTACGTGAATGTTCACTTTGAATATTTTTAGTCTTTGTGGATTTACTCTGTCCAGATATTTGATTGTAGATAACTCTCAAAATTATTACATGGGATATTAATTTGACATTACAATAAAAGAATTCTTTGAATTCTCCTGCTACGATGTAGCATTTTATATTAATCGACTATTCTCGTTCGTATATCTATTTAAAAAATTTTGCGTTAATAATTCTTATAATTCTTATAATTTATTAATTTGCAAATTATTTTGGAAAATAATGTGTAATATAAATAATTTACTAAATAAATTTATAATAATATAATCATAAATTATTTAATAAATTTATTTGTTTTATGTGAAGCATTGAATTATGCGTATAATATTTTATTTTGTTAATAATATTTTAGCAACATTTGGTCGAAGTTTATATAAGTAGCTATACTAGCGTATAACTGCGCAGCGGATGTTAACCTAGTCATATCTGGATTCTCTCTTCAACTACATATAATAATCATACCTACTCTACTCAATAGTTGCATTATCCTCTCGGGTGTCGCTGAATACATGGATAGCCTTCATATTTTGGTGACGGCGATTTCACCGTTAGGAGCGATCAACATGAATGGCTCTCTTGGTGATTGTTTTATCTCTTCCTGGGTTAAACATTTTTCTTTTATTTCTTTCATTTTTCTTATAATAATTGCCGCTTGCGTTAGAGTTGCAAAATTAATTCATAACATGTAAGAATATAGCTGCAATATACATATATACACAAAATATACACATATAATTTACATATTCTCTTTTAAAGAAAATATACATATTTTGACAAAAATTTAAAGTTTACGTTTTTCTTTTACACTGCATGAAGTCATCATATTTTAATACGTAATGATTGCATAAAATAAATATTAATTATGCAGTTGTTCAATTCTATATGCTTTGCTAATATAATTTATCGAAATTAACTGATAATATATAAAAGAGAATATTATAAAAGAGAATTTATTCACGATAAATATTCTGTAAAGTATTAAATATTTTGAGACGCGATTATTCTGATAATTAGCAATGATTCGTTATTTATTAACATTTGCGATAATGATTCGTAAATGGATTAAGGCAATAAGCATTTATCGATCAGGCTTTCGCATGAATTCGTACGAACAGATATCCGAATGATAGGATTGTCGTTATATTATGCGATAATAGCGAATCCGTTTTTTTATTGGCTTTAAAAAATTGTATATTTTTTATTTTATTTTATTTATTAAATTTTATATTATTACTTTATATTTAATTCGTTCTCTATTTAATGCTAATTCAATTCGTTCACTAATTTTCAATTAAGATCGCGCATGAAGTAATGATGTGATATACGCTAAATGACAAACTTTAAAAAAATATTTGATAATAGCTAATTTATCAAAAATTTCTTTTTGAAAAGTAAAGAAAGGAATATTTGGCATTTATTTATGTCTCTTCATATAGGAAATATTTTATGGAAATGACAATTCATTTGGGGCATGTGGCTTTGGCGTCTGTTTATGCGGCATATAGCACACAGTGTTTACAGTCGGTCGTCGTGCCATCATTCGTACGGCAGTACTCGAAAGAGCAGACAGTATAACGCTAACCACTCTGTGTTTCGCATTTCATCTCGAGACGCAATTGCGACAAGTATGAAATGCCAAAAGCATTCCCTACGAACAATTACGTTATTAACAGCACGCGCGATTAATTATCAATTCCTGCAATTGATAATTTATAAGCGCATCGAGATGACGTCTACTGTTGAAAATATACATTTTAATATTGGATTTAATTAACAAATACATCGATCATTCATTAATCTTACATTTGTTTGAGATTCCATTGAGTATAAATAAAATTATAATTTGTAACTTTTGGCTGTATTCTTTTACTGCAAAATTAAATGTAATCATCGAGATTGTCGCGTGCGATCGTAATTAATCATGTCCTCGTGTTTTTATAACGAATAAATCTGAATGTTTAAATATTTTTTCAGGATTAAATATTATACAAGATAATACAAAAATAAGATTGTTTTTCAAATATGTTATGTATAGATAAAATGGAACATATTTCATAGTCACATATAGTATATATTTTAAATTAATATATTTAGTAAAGAAACACGCAGATAATTATGTAATTATTAGTTATATTATTTGTATTTAATTTTAGATAGACTGTTTATACAAATTTATTAATAACTATATTATATTGTTTAAAACATAAAAATAATATATTATAAAATATTTTATTATCAAATTTGTTGTAAATTATTGTAAATTATCCCAAAATTATA